GACGGGCTGCCTTCCCCCTGGATTATCGGGGAAGTGGGGGCGGTGGCCTCACTGCCTGGCTGGCTCCACCCTCTGCTCCCCTTAGCTTTCTTCCTTTCCTGCCGCACGTGTGCGTGCCTGCGTGCGTGCGTGCGTGTGTGTGTGTGTGTGTGTGTGTGTGTGTGTGGGACTTGGGGGGGGGTTCTTTAGGCGCCTGTATTTAAGGTGGGAGAGCATAAAGGGCATTGAAACTAAGAGAAAGGGGGTTGGAAATGACTAGGTAACTGAGTATTTCTCATGTCTTTCTAAGGACAACGCACGTGACATACGTTTTACACCTGATGCCTGGCAGGTGCAGGGAGGGGCTTGCGGAGGTGTTACTAACTGAGCGTTTTTATGGCAATGAGTAGCTTGGCATGCCCTAGCTGCCTGCCAGAAGCAGGGAGTGACGGAGCTCTGGAGCGTGCTTGGCAATGCTGCTTGTGACGGTGCAATTTTCCTGGGCATTTCCGTGTATTTATGATAGTGACGGTGACCCTGTAGACCCAGGAGGCCCGTCAGTTAAGGCCCCTTTTTTCCGGTTAAATTTTATCATAAACACAGTGGTCCGTTTCTTTTGGGGGGTGGGGTAGGCCTTTTGTTTACTGTTTGTTAGCTCCCAGGTGCTTTTAGCATCGGAGTTGACTGGCATTTGGGGGTTCAGGTGGAGGCCCGGAGCTGCTCGTGTGGGGGCCTCAAAGGGCACGCTGGTGCTTTCGGCTTCACTTCGGGGAAGCTGGGTGAGGAAGTAGTTATTACTGTTTTTAAAAATCTCTTAGTGTTTATCCAACCAGGTGTGCATTGCATGTCTCCTAGTGCCAGTCACAGGGTGTTCGTTTACTCAAGAATGAAGTAGACTTGTTTTAATCCTGCTTTCGTGGTTGTCTAGGTTGGGTGAGCCAAGCCTCAGGGGAGACACACATTTTCTGGGTATGAATTATGAGTGTCCCAATTTATTACCAATTAAGGTTTCGGTCTGTGGGGCATCAAACATGGCCGTGCTGAGCTCTGCCACATGGCGGAGGCCTGGCATCTGTCTCAGCAGGGCCCCTGGGCGTGTGCCTGGCAGACCCGTGCTTTCCCGGGCCAGCAGCAGGGGTAGGGCAGCCGTCGCCACGTGAAGGACCGGGGCAGCCTCCTGGTCTGCGCTCAGCCGTCGTCATGACGCAGCTGGGCCTGGGCACACCGCACGGGCATTCTGTCCTTTCCATTTTGTTCTCGGGCTCACACTGGTGAAAGCCTGTTGGTCCGAGGGAAGTGAGTCTGTTTTCCACCCTTCAATAGTAGCAATTTGGAAAGCGAACAGAATAAAGTTAGCTTGCACATTTAAACAATATTCTCACGTGCAGCATGGGTTAGACTGATTTTCTAAGAATGATGTGCACAGAAGTCATAGTCCAGGGCAGCCCATGCCAGCTGAACGCGGGCGCATGGAACCCGCAGCAGGTCGCCCTGGCGGGGACCTGCACTGTTGCTTTTCCAGAGTTGCTTCTATAAGGAAACCAAGCTTTTAAAGTATTTTAGGAGTTTGGCTCAGAGCTCCCACTTTCCTCCTAACATAGTGTGTGCCTCTCTCTCTCTCTCTCTCTCTCTCTCTCTCTCTCTCTGTCTTTCTCTCTCTCTCATGCTCTTCAGCTTCATCTCCTGCTGTGGCCATTAGTGCCGCGGAACATAAACCACCTGTTACTGACTCGCGCTGTCTCTGATTAAATTACCAGTTGCTTTGACTGCATCGGCCCTCTTCATTATTGCAGAGGAGAAATGGAAAGTAATCTTTCCTCCTACTAATTTAGCTTTGGATGAACTAAATGGCTTTTCCTCTCTCTTCCTCCCCAAAGGCCCTTGACATAGTCGAGAGCCGTGCTCAGTATCGCATTGAGCTCCACTATGCCCAGTGCTCATTTGCTGCCAAAGACCCACTGGGGCCCCTTGTCTAGAATGTTCTGAGACTGTGGCCAGAGCAGCGTCCCTTGATTGCCCTATTCACCTACTGGGAGAGCCTGTGTTTTGCCCTCTTATCAGTTTCCCTGTGTACCGATTTCCTTCTTTTCTCTTTTATTTTCCTTAGCATTTGGGAGCCTAGCTCCAAGGCCAGCTAACCTCTAACACCCTAGTGCAGTGGTCAGCAAACCGCGGCCCCTTGAGTGTGGCTGTTCCACAAAATATCACGTCTGGGCACGCGCTTTCCGGAGGATGAGGCCCAGAAATCAGGATTTTAAAAAGATTCCCAGGTGATTCTAATGTGCAGCCAAGGTTGAGAACCACTGCCCTAGTGGGTTAAGGGAAGGAAAGGGAGTGAAGATTCCTTAATGCGGGGTCAGCTTTGCGGGCCATTTTCTGTTGCCATTACTCCAGGAATGGACACAGCTCTGTCCTATTACAACGTGGTTTATAAAATCAGCCGCAGGCTGCCTTGGCCCTTGGGCCATAGTTCTCAAGCCCTGCTCTAACTCAGAAAGCGTGCAGACGAACAGCCCAGTAGTGGAACAGGCAGCAGGGAAGTGCGCCCCGTCCCCCTAGGAGCTGGCGAGGGCATATTTACTTCTGTGGCCAGTGGTGACATACTGTGTTCCCAGCACTCGGCCTCGTGGTGTGTAACTGAGCTGCCGGTCGGGCACTAGCACTAGTTGAATGTACCTCTTCTTGTAGCGGTTTGTGACTGTGCTCGTCTTGGGGGATGGCATGGCTTCACACGTAACCCTTCAGGACCGAGTCCCCCACCGCTGGGTGTTCAGAAGCCCTGTCTCCGATGGGCGAGGTCACACCCCTCCTCTGAGCAGCTCCCTTCCCTCACCTCCCTCCCCTCCCCAGCGCCAGCCACAGGTGTGGACCCCAGAGCACACCCCGTAAACTCCCTGCACGTGAATCTCCGTCTGCTTCCGGGGAGCCCGCCCACAGCAGCCCTCTGCACGTTCCCAGCACTGTGGCTTGAACCTGACGTCGGAAACTGTTTTCTAATCATGTAGTAGAATGACTAATTGTGCCTGTACGATAGCAGGCACAGTAAGTGCAAACTAGGTTCACCTACTATTTATTCTGAATGTGTATTTGCTATTTATTCTGAATGTTGATTTTATGTTACCAGATACTGAATTTATTGCCAAATAAAAAGAATTGTATCATCCAGTTTATTGCAAGTCATTGGGTTTTGTGTGCTTAAGTTAGTGGCTGGTAGCATCAGCGGGTGCTACCAGCCCCGATAGCCCCTCAGGGCTTCACCTCCCCCTGTTCCTGAGGGGCGATCGGGCCTGCAGCTGCCTCTCGCACCCACTGCTGGCACCGGCCCCAATCGCTCTGCGCCATCAGTGGGTGTGAGCGGGGTCGGCACCGTCATCCCAGGGGAGCTGCAGCAGCGGGGGGAGTGGGGCTGCAGGCAGAGAAGGGACTGGGTTGTGGTGGGAGGAGCTGGGCTGGGGCACAGAGGATGGGCCGAGATCTGCCCCTGTGCCCATCGCAGCCTCGTGGTCCACAGTTCCTTTCAAGGTGCATGCATTCGTGCACTGGCCTCCTAGTTCTAATATAACCAAATAAGAATATCCTTGTGAGAGGGGAGGGTGAGAGATTTAGGGTTCATTTCTCACCACCCACATCCCATCATGCCCAGCCAAGCACGCGTGCTTGTTTTCAGAGCTTGTAGACTGTGTACTGAAGCCAGAAAATTGGTGTGAACTTTAGCTGTAGGTGGGCAGCAGGCAAACCCCACCTGGAATTTTTTTTCT